CCCCCCCCCCCCCCCCAGTATGTACTATATGACCTTTCTAAAACTAGAAAAGAAAAATTCTGAATTCGAAAATACTCCTGATCCCAGGAGGTTCAGATACGGAATAGTGGACTATGTATACATTCAGGTGGGCTCACAGGGGTACAGATCATTCTCTGCAGTTTGTTGTTATGGTGTAGACAGGGTGGTGATATGCTTTTGCTTGTGGTAGTTAACTCTGTAGAAAATTTTTTCTCAGCTTGAGTCACTTTGCAGATTTATTTTTCTTTTTCATATCTTCCCCTCAGGAGTGTCAGCCTTTATACAGAAGCCAGAGGACAAGTGAAGTTAACTCTAATTATGCTGTAAACTTCAGGCTTCTAAAAGAGAGCCTCTCAGGCATGGGCTGCAGAACCAATGCAACCTAATGGCAGAGTGTTAATACTTGAGAGGTCCTAGAATTGTCTAGGATTTGCTCAGATTTCCTAGTACCATATGGAAGAACGTTGGTCTGAGCTTACAGGATGATTTCCTATAAAACTTGAGTAAATTTTTTGATGGGTAGAAGTGCATCCACCCTGAGCTCTGGAACATTCTCGCGTTTTCATGACATTGCTTCCAATCCTTTATATTAAGGGTGAAGCCATTTACACATGAGGCAGCAGTGCCACCTTGCGGACAGTTACAGGAAATCTCCACAAACCTCAAGCTGACTGGTTTGCTCTCAGGGATCCGCTTCTAGAAGACCCACGTCATGACAATTGCAAAGTTTCTTGCTCACAGGAGATTCTTTGATGCCAACAGACATTAGAGTTGGGTGTGAGGGAATGGGATATACTGAACTTTTTCGTGTTTGAAGGATTTTTCCACACCATATAAATCAGAAAACATTGCATGCTTGATTTGTGAACACATTTTATAGCTGATAGAACTTTCTTTTAGCCACATTTTAAAGTTCATAATTATTTTTGCCCTTTATTTTATTGGACAATAATGAAACAACTGCATTCTTAACAAATTATGGAGAAATGTATTAGTTATTTTTCTCCTAATTTAAGTGAAACCGTTAAAAAAAAAAAACTGTCCAATTTTATCTCACTAGCACCATTTCATTTTTATATTTTCCAAGTATTAGAAACTTATGTAAAAGGTGATATACTATTATATTAGGTAAGTGTGAGAGCCAAGGTAGTAGACCAAATGTGAATGTTGAAGTTTGACGGAGAATTGCATTAGTCTTATAAGATCATTAAATAGTATGGCTTTTAATGAGTCAATTGTAATTTTGTCACGGAAGGTATACAGCCTTGATTGGCTATTGGCTGGTTATTGTAATGCCTCCTTTTTCTTTCTTTCTTTTTTTTTGAGCTGGAGTCTCACTCTGTCGCCCAGGCTGGAGTGCAGTGGCACGCTCATGGCCACAGCAGCCTCGACCTGCTGGGCTCAGTGACTCTTCCGCTTCAGCCTTCCAAAGTAGCTGGAAGTACAGGCATGTGCTGTCATGCTCAGCTAATTTTTCTTGGTTTATTGTAGAGATGAGGTCTCGCCAGGTTGCCCAGGCTGGTCTCAGCGACTCAGGCAATCCTCTTACCTCAGCCTTCCAAAATGCTGAGATTGTAGGTGTGAGCCACCACACCCGGCCCTCTTTTTTTCAACAGCAAACAGAAGGACTTAGTGTCTGTAAACTCAGTGTAACAGAGTAGAACTTTCTTATAGTTACTGGATTAATTTCAAAGACTTTGCCTTCTTCTAACCTTTATTTAGTTATCATTTTTGAGTTGGAGTCTTACTCTCTTGTCCAGGTTGGAGTGCAGTGGCACATTCACAGTCACTGCGGCCTCAACCTGCTGGGCTTAGGAGATCCTTCCATCTCAGTGTTCCAAGTAGCTGGAATTATGGGTGCATGCCACCATGCCCAGCTAATTTTTTGATTTATTATAAAGACAAGTTCTCATCAGGTTGCCCAGGCTGGTCTTGAACCCCTGGACTCAGGCAATTCTCTCACTTGGCCTCTCAAAATGGAGGGGTTACAGGCATGAGCCGCCACCGGCCCTGTACTCTTCTAACCTTGATTTTGACTTATTGGTTACTTATTGTCATTTTAATAGCAAAGAGAGTTTGATTAATGAGTACAAATATGCACTTAACTAGGAGAAATAAGACCTGCTATTCTATATATCACTAAGGTAACCACAGTTAGAATTCATCAATTGCATATTTCAAAATAGCTAAAAGAGAATAATTTAAATGTTCCCAGTGTAAATGAAAGAGAAATATTTAAGGCGATGGATATACCGATTATTATGAGTTGATTATATGAATGTGTCGAATTATCACATATTCCCCCAAAATATGCACATCTAATATGTATCAATAACAAATTAATTAATTTAAAAATGAGTTGGCAGAGAGAACAAAAGACCATCAGATTCCTTCTCCATTCACATATAAATGCAGTTAATTTTTGCCAGTATGTGAGAACATCCTAACCCTTGAAAATATTATAGAGAAAATATTGTTCTCTATATGAGCCATTTTCTTTTTTTTTTTCTTTTTCTGAGCCGGAGTCTCACTCCATCACCCAGGCTGGAGTGCAGTGGCACACTCATGGCCACTGCAGCCTTGACCTGCTGGACTCCGGGATCCTTCTGCCTCAGCCTTCCAAGTAGCTGGAGCTACAAGCAGGCGCTACCATGCCTAGCTTATTTTTGGTGTATTGTAGAGACAAGGTCTCACCAAGTTGCCCGGGCTGATCTCGAACCCATGGGCTCAGGCATTCCTATATGAGCCATTTTCAAATAGAAAGGAGGGGAAACCAAGTCTGGTGTTTCTAGTTGTTTCTTTGTGCTTCTTCTCCATTAATATCAGGAATACAGTGTGACAAGGCAGCACATTTTTATCACAGGAACTATGGTTTATCATTTTCAACACAAGTGGAGGAAAAGCAGCTCCTACCCTGAGGTGAATAATGATTTGTTCCGTGTTCCCTACTTATTTCTACAGAACTCTACCTGAGTAAGGAGGATCTGAAAAAACTGCATGACTTTGAAGAGCAGTGTGTGGAAACATACTTCCATGAGAAGATGGAAGGTCTGAATTGTAGTTGTGAAGAACGAATCCGAGTGACATCAGAAAGGTAAAAGATCTAGACCCTTCCCGTTCCTCAACTGCTACCCAAACCTGGTTCTATTAGGACGTCCAACGAGGAGAAAGATCCACTTTCAAATTCCAGAGATTTGGATTGTCTATAATTTGAAGCATGTAGGAGCGTATAATAATCATGAGATCAATGTGTATTTAATGAGCATCTACTATATTCCAGGCACTCTTCCAATGAGCAGGAATAAGTGGTCAACAAGAGACAGGAGTCCCTGTCCTCATCGGACTTACATTCATGGGTGTATGTGTGCGTGCACATGTAGGTGGTGAGGGAAGTGAAGGGAGTGGAGAACAAGAAATAAACAAGGTAACACTTAAAGAACTATCTAATTTAGTATCAGGTGTAACATAGCCATGAAAAAACATGACGTAGTTTAAAAAGACTGGGGAGTGTTAGTGATATGTGATCTAGCAGAGTTGGGGTGTTGCACTGAACTGTTTCAACCACTTGATCCAGGAAGGTCACTCTGAGGAGTCTGAGGAAGAGAGGTCTGAAGGATTGAGTGCAGCAGACCAGGCAGGGACATCTGGTGGAATAGTGCACCTGGCAGAAGGAACAGCAAATGCAGCCACCTGAGGCAGCGAGGTGTGTCCAGCAGCAGACAGGCCCCGGAAGAGGTCGAGTGCAGTGTGCTGGCTGGGTGGGGAGTCCCGGGTCCTGGGATTCTCCCCAGTTGTCATTGTGTGGAGTTGGTGGCAACTTCACTGAAGTGGGTGGAAAGAGAACAGGAGAGGTAGAGACATCAAGGACAGATGGCGTTTGGAAGAAGTTTTAGGACAGGGAAGCTGGATGGTACACGGGAAGGTTCTTTGTTTTTGTTTTGCTCTATAACAAAGTGAAATCGTAGGATCCTAGAAATGATCCATCAACAAGGGAGACACTTCAGAAACAGAAGGACAAAGGCCATTTGCTGAAGGAAACTCTCTGGAAAGCCGGGTTAATGGAGAGTCTAGGCTTCAGGCAAAGCCATCAGCTGAGTGGGCTGGGGGTACATGTGATTTTCGGAGAGGAGGGTGGTATAGAGGTTTTTCAAAAGAGGAGATGTGCTGGAGAAAGTGAACACATTAGGAAACTGTAGTAGAATCAGAGCTATTGTGGATGTATTACTAATTGTGATTGTGTGGCATCCTGTGAAAATATGAAAGGCTGTATAGGATTATATGCATTTTTTATATTAGAAAATATAGGATATTTAAAAACTTAGAGAGAGAGAGAGAGAGAGAGAGAGAGAGAGAGAGAGAGAGAGAGAGAGAAGAGATTCACCTCCCCAAGGTAGGGGAGGAGGCCAAAGCTTATGAAAACATGGCCTGGCCATAGCTCAAAGAGCACATGGCCACCCATAGCTTAGCAAGGCAATGGCTGCTGGGTGTGGCGACTCATGCCTGTAATCCTAGCGCTTTGGGAGGCAGAGGCGAGAGGATTGCCTGAGCCCAGAGGTTCGACACCAACCTGGGCAACTTGGCAAGACCTCGTCTCCACAATAAATCAAAAAATTAACTGAGTGTGATGACATGCACCTGTGGTTCTAGCTACTTGGAAGACAGTGGTGGAAGGATCGCCTGAGCCCGGCAAATCGAGGCTGTGGTGGCTGTACGCATGCTCCTGCACTCTGGCCTGGGCGACAGAGTGAGACTCCAATAAAAAAAAAAAAAAAAAGCAAGGCAATGGCCTATATGTGTTTTTTTAAACACAGAATTGCTCTTGTAAGTTGAACCAAATTAACCAAAGTTAAATGTAGTCCATCTCTGAAACTGACTATAAATGTTATACCTAATTATGCGTATATTTTTTATGATATCTAAATATCAAATAGATAGATGTGAATCCTGAAATATGGCTTGGTTTAAAACTGAATCACATTAAGAGCTTTCTAAATAGTTCACTTTGGGCATAAGTTATATTGATATAAGTTTAAGATTTTCTATTGATATCATATTTATGTAAGTATGTATTTACATACCTGATTGAATTTCAGATAAAATGTAATATTGAGAAAAATTGAATGTCAAAGTTTTTTTAGCCCACAAAATTCTATTTTGCCTAATAATATCTTTAGGCCATAGTTATATGAATATCCCTCTCCCTCTTCCACACATTCTGCCCCTTTACAGATATGTTCATTGAGTCCTGTGGGCCAGCTTGGGTCTCAGTTTTGTATGAAGCATAGACCCAAATTAGGAGCTTACAGAGCAGGTATGAAGTCATGCTTAATAGCTATATGTACTTGCGGAAATTTCGGAACCTATAAAAATTGACCTACCTCTTGGAGTTGTTGTGAGGATTAAATGAGATAATGTAGATAAATACTGAGGCAGAGTGCTAATTGATAGTAAAGGTGTAATGAAAGTTATCCATTATTATGGAAAAATAGACTCAACAAATTGTGAGTGCCATTTCTTTTTAAAGACAGATTTCCTTCCAAATCTTAAACAAAGGGGAATAAATAGGTAAGATGAGGTCAAGATAGACCCACCCCCTTCCAAGATTATGAACTGGGGTAAGGGGTGTGGAGAGCTCCCCACTTTAAACTATAAACTAAGGAAGAATTCTAGGTGGCCAATGAAATGAACAGATTGACCACCAATTATAGTGTGGATTTGAGGGGGCAGCCTTAGAGCCAGGGAGACCATCTGAGAGAATGGTGTCGCGATTGGATGAGTCCACAGCCTCGCCAAGGCTAGTGCTGGCGGGATTGAAAGGAGGGGGTGAAGAAGACATGTTTAGACAGAGCAATTCACTAGGTGTGTTAAGGATAAGATGTAGAGCTGAGGAAGGGGATGATTCTGACATCACCAAGATAAAGGCACAAAAGGGTATGGGGGAAAAAGCAATGGATTTTAGATTTCTTGAGCTGCAGATTCTTGTGGTATATTTAGCCAGAAATATCCAGGAGCCTTTGGATGTGTGAATCTGAAGCCTTGGGGTAGCATGTGAATGGGGGCAAGGAGATCACCTTGCCTATCAGGAAAGTCAACTGTAAGAGTCATCTGCTTATTTTAAGAAATGAAAATAGAATCATCTGTCTATCGCAGGAAAACTGAAAGTGTGACCCAGCAAGTGACTATGCCCAGGAAGCAGGTAGAGTGAGGAAACTCAGTGGGCTCAGAGTTGAACCCTGGGAGATGCTTAAGAGATGCTTAAGAGAAATTTAATGGAGAATACTAGAAAGAATTGATCAGAGGAGTATAAGGAGTACTAGGAGAAGGTAATACCATAAGCCAAGGAAACATACAGTGAAAACTTGAGAACCAGATATCCAGATATTTACAAACTAGTAATTCAATGATGATACTAAATCCTAAATACATGAATCATCTTATACCACTATATCACTCTTGGATTCTTTTCATAGGATTTGAATAGAGGATTGGAAGTTAGATGGCTATGTAGCTTCTGAAAAATATGGATAATTCCAAAGGGTTTAGTATTTGGTTATGAGACTTTAATTTGACTTCAAAATATAATCAGTTTTCTTTCTTGATGGCGCTATCACTTTTTCTTTTGTTTTGTTTTGAGTTGACGTCTTACTCTGTCGCCCAGATTGGAGTGCAGTGGCACACTCAGCCACCCCAGCGTTGACCTGCTAGGCTCCAGCAATCCTTCTGCCTCAGCCTTCCAAACAGCTGGAACTACAGGCGCGTGCTACCATGCCCAGCTAATCTTTTTTTTATTATTATTATAGAGATGAGTTCTCACCAAGTTATCTGGGCTGGTCTTAAAGAACCCGTGGGCTCAGGCAATCCACTCGCCTTGGCCTCCCAAAGTACTGGGATTACAGGCTGAGCCACCGAGCCCAACTGGAGCTGTCTCAATGGCAATGTTTTTATACTGTGGTCCTTGTTGAGGTCATTTCTGGGGCGCTCGTCCATAAGGTGTGGGAGGGAAGGAAGACTATTTCCTGAGGTTATTGAGCAATAGTTTGGAGAGGGAGGAAAAGGAAATTAGGAGAATATTTACATGTTCGTCTGCCTCTAAAGAAGAGATCTCCTATATCAGTGTCCCCAGCCTTTTTTGGCATCCGGGATCAATTTCATGGAAGACTATTTTCCACAGATCGGGTGAGGGGGGTGGTTTTGAGATGATTCAAGTGTATTGCATTTAGTTTGCACTTTATTTCTATTACGATTACATTGTAATATATAATGGAATACATAATGAAATAATTATACACGATAAATAATTATATATTACGTCATACATAATTATACAGGCCGGGCTCGGTGGCTTAGCCTGTAATCCCAGCACTTTGGGAGGCTGAGACGAGTGGATTGACTGAGCTGGAGGGTTCGAGACCCACCTGGGCAACTTGGTGAGATCTCGTCTCTACAATAAATAAATAAATAAATAAATAAATAAATAAAAATTAGCCGGGTATAGTAGTGCACGCCTGTAGTTCTGGCTACTTGGAAGGCTGAGGGGGAAGGATCGCCAGAGCCCAGCAGGTAGAGGCTGCGGTGGCCAGGAGCATGCCACTGCAATCCAGTCTGGGCAACAGAGTGAGACTCCAACTCAAAAAAAAACCCCCAAAAAACCAAAAGACCCCCCA